AAAAAAAAAAGCACAATGTACAGTCCACAGCTGTCCCGACAAGAACTCGACTCACTTCAGGGGCTTCCATCACAAATCCCGTTCGAGCTCTAACAATCACTTATTTCTTCTTCTGTCGTTTTCATATTCTCAAGTGCTACTTTTATTTTCTTCTTTGACTCTGTGGTAGCTTTGCATCTCTAGATATTGTCCTGATCCAAAAGAAGAGAGAGAAAAAAGATCTTTTTCCTGTGTTATTTTCTTGTCTGATAATCGGTAAGACTTTGTTCATGTTCCACCAATAATTTAATCGATGTTTTCTCTTGTCTTGATGAAAGCCAAAGTGGGTGCATCTTGATGTGAACTGTATCATACACACAGTAGTTATTATTTTTTCTGTTTAATCAATATCAATTTTTTGAAACTGGGGGGGGATTTGAAAAAGAGTTAAAAAAAAAAAATAAAAAAAGACCTACACAGGCTTTCCAATTTCTACAACTGGTTGTTCATATGTATTTTGTACCAGTGACGCTTTTTATATTGGAAATTAAAGGATAAAAAAATCTATATTGGGAAAAAAATTGTCTGGCCTGTCTATGTGGCCTCGCCTTGACCATGTCTCGAGTTCGGCCTCTTGGTGGCGTCAAGCAATTTTTGTTTTGTTTTTTGTCTCTAAAAATATAAAGATGCCTGATTTTGGGTTTGACTTGGATCTCCACGTGTTCCTCACGCTTCATTTATCAGTTTTTTCGGTGGTGGGGGGCTGGGATCCAATAGATTGTGGTAAGTTTCCTGTTAGTATTTGTGCTGTCCACATAGTTTAATGGTCATCGGGATTTCGACAACTTGTGTGGATAATTGTCTTAGTTGAAGAGTTAACTATCTGTTTAGTTTGGAGCCTTGCTTTTTACCTGTGTAGAGATTTCTGTTTTGTTTTTTTCCCCATAGAGGAGTGTGTAGCAGAAAGACTCTGTGTTCTTTTTTTGGTCAATGTTTGTTCACGTGTGGTGTGTTTCTTTGCCTCTGTCTCCAAATTAAACCATTTCCCCTAATATGGACTGTGTGTCTTTGTGTGTTGTGCTCGTCCAGTGTTTGTTAAAGACATTTTTACAAACCACCCCCTCCCCTCCCTAGTGTGTCATGTCTGGCTGACGTGTTTCTCTCGTCGTGCTTCTTTGCTCCTTTCTGAGCAGGGACAGGGGGGGGGGGTTACAGCAGGTTCATGTTACAGTCCCTGGTGTCTAATG